GGAACAAACAGAAAAAAAAAAAGATAGCAAAAAGACAAGACTATCAAGGGTGAATAAAAAACAGCAAAGGCGGCGGCGGAGCGGGTGGCCGGGACGCATTCGGAAGAACGCGGGTGGCCGCCGGGGAAGGGCAGGCTCCTGGAGCGGGCGGACTTCGGCCTAAAATGGCCCCTGGCCTCCAAGGGTCCGCCGACTCCCTGTTGGCGCGCTCTTCCTTTGTGCCCCAGGGCGGCAGGCCCCAGGCGGCGCCTCCCGCCTCGGGAGGACTTCTCCCTGAGAGCCAGGAGACCCCGGGGGCCAACCTCCCACGGGCCGGGCCTGCGGCCCAACTTGGCCAAGTTGGGCCGGGTCCTCCCGCCCAGGCCGAGGGCTCGGCCCGCGACCTCTCCTTTCGCGTGGCGCCCCTGGGCCCCGGCGCGCACGAGCTGGGCGGACACGCGCTTTCCCGGCCAGCCAGGCCCTTCGCGGCACTTTGTGGAGCTTGGTGCTAGAGTCCAATGCCTTTCTGAGTTTCTTTTTAAACAGAATTAATGTCATAAAGAATGCAATAAAAAGAACAAAGAACAAATTGGTTCGATTGTTTTAGCCTGTGTAGTGTTTAAAAAACGCCCTTGCTGCAGCCGATGGCTTCTTATTGCTTCAAGATGTTTTAAAGGCCTCGGGAGTTCACCATTCTCACTTTGAAGCCCCATCCGGGCGTGGTACTACTGGAAACGCAGCGATGTCTGTATTCCGAGCTCCTTCGTGTAACCACACGGTGTGGTAAAATTAGTCCGAGCCCCTTCGTGTAACTACACGGTGTCATAAAATTCACCTCAGGGAGTGAAATTTCTGACTGTAAAAGGTGCGCGCACATGCACGGCCACGTGGGGAGTCCCCAGCACCGACCCGCCCCATCCGATTAAGCTTTAAAATGCAAAGCGATGGGTTTTTTTTTTTTTTAATTTTTAGTGTATCAAAGATAGATGCAAAGCATAAAGTTAGATCCGTGTCAGTTATTTGCAATTCGTTGATCACTGGCATCATTAAGTGTGTGGTTAGCTGCCTTGTATTTGTAGGAGCTGAAAAACTGCTAGTGATGACTGATGGAATTGTTTGCTTGTCAGTGCCTGGGGCATAGTAGGTGCTCAGAAAAGAGGGATTTCATGCCAAGGACACAGAGTGATGAAACCTGAAGTGTGTGAACTGTGTTTTCTGTGTTCCTCATGTGAGTGAGGACCCAAAGAGTGAAATAGGTCTATAGGAGAGAAAGAAGTGTGGTCCAAGATAGGAAGGGAGTGGCTTTGGTATGGGAGGCAGCTAGGGAGAGGAAAAGCCATAAAAGGTTAATTAATGAACACACAGTGTTCCTGCCCTGCAGAGGCAGCTCAAAAGCCACTAGGATGACAATGAATCCAGGCAGTGCTGGGTACTCGGTGAGGGACACCACTGTCCCTCCAGTATCCACACCAGGGCTGCCCGAAGTCATATTGACTCCTCCCCTAACAGGTCACAGCTGGTCACTCACTGCATCCTGTTCTGCTCTGGGCCCTACCCACTCCTTGACCACTGCTTGGTCCAGCCTGTGGCCACCATGTCTCCAGCTTTATGTGAGATGGCTGAATGTGGGCAAGGGATGAAGAGTGCCTTTTCTAAGATGCAAACCTAAACACGTTAAGTCAGTTCCTTGAACAAGAAGCCTCTTAGGGTAAAGTCCAAGAGCGCCCCACCCCTCTCTGCCTAAACCACAGACTAAGCTCTGCCTGTTCTCCCTTCCTACCCTGTTCTCCAGCGATGGTGAACTCTGCTTCTCTCTGTTCCCCTTCAGCTCTCTCTCTACCTCTGGCCCCTTTGCTCATTTTTCTAGGTGGAAAAGCCTCTCTGTTTTCTTCATGAACTAATGCCTTCCACTCTTATTTCTTTAAATCCTATTCACTCATTATGTCTTGGATGACATTTTCTCCAAAATACATCTCTCACCACTATCCCTCATCTCGCCTTTAGATAAATTGAGATACTCCTTCTTAGTGCTATGGTCCCACCTGAATTTCACCTCTTGTAATATTTTCTTTTTTCAAGATTTTATTTATTTGAGGGGTAGAGTTACACAGAGAGAGAGACAGAGACAGAGACGAAAGTCTTCTATCCACTAGTTCACTCCTCAAATGGCCACAAAGACTGGAGCTGGGCCGATCCGAAGCCAGGAGCCAAGAGTTTCCTTCAGGTCTCCCTAGAGGGGCCCAAGCACCTGGGACATCTTTTACCGCTTTCCCAGTCCATAAGCAGATATCTGGATCGGATGAAGGGGCACCCAGGGTGTGAACTGGTGACCATATGGGAGGCTGGTGCCCATAGGCAGAAGGAAGCTTAGCCTACTAGGCCACAGTGCTGGCCCCTGTTTCTTTCTTGTAAGTGGCTAGTGAATGACCGCTCCCCAGCACTAGCATGGAAACTGGACAAGGGCAGGGACCTTGTCTATACAGCAAAATTGTGTTCCCAGGGCCCACATTTTCAGTGAGTGTTTGTCAAGGGAATAAATGTACCTGATTGAGAGGAAGAAGTGATTTCAACTTAAAGAGATGGGAGGAATAGCAAGTGACTGTGAACTGGACCTCAGGAAATCCAAGGGCTTTGTGAAGAGGACAAAAGAGGGAGGTCCCCTCCCTGAATTTTTTTTTTTTTTAAGATTTTTATTTATTTGAGAGGCAGAGTTACAGACAGAGGGAGAGGCAGAGAGAAAGGTCTTTCATCCACTGATTCACTCCCCAGATGGCTGCAACAGCTGGTGCTGTACCGATCCGAAGCCAGGAGCCAGGTGCTTCTTCCTGGTGTCCCATGCGGGTGCAGGGCCCAAGCACTTGGGCCATCCTCCACTGCACTCCTGGGCCACAGCAGAGAGCTGCATCGGAAGTGGAGCAGCGGGGACTCGAACCAGCATCACGGGCGGAGGCTTAACCCACTATGCCACAGTGCCGGCCCCTCCCTGAGTGTTTTTAAGCAGCAGAGTGAGATGGTCTCAGTGGTGCCCAGGTCTTGTTTTTGTCCCTAAAGCCAGCACAGTGCTCCACAGGTGACGAGGTGTTCAGTAAATCCTGACTTAAGCTTGGTCCTTGCCAACTAGCAGGTGCTGTAGCTTAGGATTCCTCCACCCTTGTCCCAGCAGAGCCCTGTTGCCGCACCCAATATTGCAATCTGGGTTCTTGTGCCAGTGACGATTGGAGAGTAGATATGGAGTATAGTTCTGGCCAGTGGAATATGAAGGAACCTGTGCTGGGGGGGAGGGGACAAGGCTTATGGGAAATATTTTCCTTCCTCATGAGACGAAACCTGCACACCTGCTTAGGAAGTTGTTGTGTGAGGATGTGATGTGTGAAGCTGTGGCAGCCATCTCCTCACCATGAGGGAAAGACCAGGTTGCGGGTTTCTATATACATAGTTGTTTTTCATCATTTTGTTTTCAGCCCAAATGTTACCTCTTCAGTGATGACTTCCTTACCGGTAAGGTCAACCCCGCCCCCTGCCCCACTCAGTTACTAGTTACTGTCCTCTTTTACTTTCTTCTCTTTACGAGTCATTAACTCTGGTTACTTTGTTCAGTTTTTTAATTTGTTACCTTTTTTTCCCACTAGAATGTGAGCTTCCTGAGACTAGGGGCATTGCTTCATTCACTCCTTTTTCCCGAGCTCCTAGAACAGTATCTGGTAACTAGAAGGTGATCCGTAGGAGTTTGCTGATTAATGGATGTTAGCTACACTATGCCAAGACAAGCACGCCATGTTGAAGTTGATTCAGGGTCTGGCAGGCACAGCCACCACGAATCTCCACTTTCTCCTTTGTGCTGTGTTTCAGTTATTTCCTGCTTAGACAATCTGATACCCAAATACACGCTCTTGAGATTTCTTCTTCCTTTGTTACTCTAGAGTTTGTTCTATTCCTTCCCCAGTAAAAATCTCCTCTTCATTTGATGATAGACAAAGTTACAAAGGCAGAAAAATGTCATGTGCTTGTGCAGTTTGAGCAGCATGGATACATCTACCTTAAAGGGAAACAAAGTCACATGTTTTGAAGTTGGAGATATAGGTAGACCAAGGTTGTTCTATCTCTAAATCATTATGGAGGATCTGCATATTCCAGCATCTGTATGTGTTTCTGCCTGTATTATCCATCCATTCATCCATCCATCAATCCAGCATTCCATCCATTGATACATGCATGCATCCATCCATGGATTCATCCTTCTGTTTATCTCCTCAGAATTGCCAGGAAATACTGAGGTTGAATTAGGTAGCCAGCAGTTCTGATAAAGATCAAAGTATTGGATATGTGATCTGCCCCACTGCATGCCCCAGGAGCTGTCAGCATTTCTAACGTAGGTAGGTAGCTGTTCTAAATGCTGTTTGGTAGGACCATGCAATTGAAGGACATAGCACAAAAATAGTTGAAATGTCCAATCTTGAGATCCAGGAGGTGAGTAAAACTGAAAGAGCTCCTGAAGAGATAGCCATGGGATGGTGCGTTCACTATTCGGAGTAGGTGGGAGAGTGAGTGTATTGGGAATATTGGAATGAGCAACTTGGAAGGGTAGGAGGTGAGTTGGAGAATGGGGCCCTGTGAGTTGAACATTTAGAGGTGAAGCAGCCCCAAGGGGTAGCATAGAAAGGCTCTGGGGGTGGGAGGCAGAAGGGACAGAAAGGAAGGAGTGGCTGGGGTGCTGAATGTAGTTCCGGGTAGATCCTGAAATTACTCAAAATGGTGGCCAGACAGGATATGGAGTAAGACTGAGCCCCCAGGCCACGTCTCATTTCATGAGAAAAAAAATCTCCAAGCAACTGGTGGACACTGGCAGCCAGAGAGAGTGGCTGAGCAATACCCTTCCTCCTGTTGTTAACTGCTGCCTTGCATCCTGGCTGTTCAAGTTGTCATCACTCACAGTTGACTGTTTATTGGTTGTTTTACTAGTAAAATAGATCAATAATTTATTTTTCTTCTTTTTATTATAAACATTATTTCTGCCTCATTGGGAATTTAAATCAGCTGTGAGGGACTTGTCAGGGATCTTAAAACATTATTTATAATATTTCCCAGGGAGATGATTCGAAATTTCTGAATCAATAACCCACACATAGGAAGCTTTAGAATGTAGTTTATTGCTGAGTTGGGGACCACCTGGGTTTCTTCTGTGCTGGGAGGCAGAGTGAGGAAAGAACACAAGGCCCACAGGTAGGAACCACGACTTTCCTTATTTTAGAATGAGAAGTTGACTCCTTATGTTTCTATTCCTGTCCTCTGTGTTAAGGAAAAATTATAGATATTTATATCTTGGATTGAATTTAATGCACTAAGTATTGCTTGAACCTCTACCATAGGTCTGGAGTGGAGTAGGAGTACAAGAAATATATATAATATGATCCTTGCATTCAAGGAATTTGAGAGAATACACAGATTGCTTAAGTAATTAAAAGGACAAGAAGTAAATGTATTTGTTCAAAGAAATATGACTCATCATGTAAGGTTTGGTCTTTGTCTTAAAGGAGTTTATAGACTTGCAAAATACATCTCATCAGGTCAGGAAGCCCCCAAAAACCATGCTAGAGGGGGTGCTGCCTGTTTTAGAACTCCATTGCTGGTGGGGAAGGCACTGCAAGTCACGTTTTGGGATCTGGAAGCGGCTCGATGGCAAAGAGCACATGGCCCACCCAGGAGCGGTGTGAGACAAGTTGGGACAGGTCAGCTGAGGACAGGTTGTAGAGAAAATGGGAACTGGCCATTGGGAAATCAAGATAGGTTTTTGAAAGGATGAGTTGCATGATAGCATATCAAAATGACATTAAATATAATTGTGATAGGAAGTTCTGGCAGAGCAGGAGACAGCAGTTTGGAATGTGTATCTACAAGTGGAATCCACGCAGATGCCCCTCAGCTTATGACGTAAGTCAAAAATGCATCGAGTACACATGCCCTCACCTCCTCACCTACCCTGCAGCCCAGCCACGCAGCACACTGTGGGGGCTCGGTTCCTTCCCTCTCGTGACTGGGGAGCCTCCTTCCAAAACTGGGAGCTGCAGCTCGCTGCTGCTGCTGTCCCAGCATCCCAAGAGAGCTGCTCACGTACTGCACGTCGTGAGCCCAGGAAGAGATCAAGATTCAATGTACAGTTCCTACTGAATGAGTATCACCTTTGCACCATTGTAAAGCTGAAAACTTGTGCGTTGAGGACTGTGTGTACTTGTGTTCATATACCATCTCCACCTTGCTTGCCCTACATACACAGACACACACACGCACACACATACACACACGCACACACACACGCGCACACACACGCGCACACACACACACGCGCACACACACTATTCTCATCCTTCGTGACTAAGCCAGGGAAGCAACACTGTGTGATTTGCACTTGAGGGAGGTGGCCTTGCCATCTTTCTGTTCAATCTAAGTGAGTCATGTGCCTGCATTTCCCAAACCCTCTCCCTCCACGCAAAAATGAAGTTGCCTTCCTGGTACCTGACTGGGATGCGGACCCCAAGCTTTAATTCTGTCTCCTAGCCTGGCAAACCAGTCTCCAGTCACAAATACCCTGAAATTGTGTTAATCTGTCCCAGTGGGGGATTGGCACTGTGGCAAAGCAGTTTAAGCGTCCACCTGAGACCCTGGCGTCCCATTTCAGCACTGATTCTAGTACTGGCTGCTCCACTTCTGATCCAGCTTCCTGCTGATATTCCCAGGAAAGCAGCAGAAGATGGCCCAAGTGGTTGAGCCCCCGCCATCCTTGTGAGGGAGCTAGGTGGAGTTTCTGGCACTGGTCTGGTCCAGCCCCAGGCATTGTGGCCATTTGGGGTGTGAACCAGTGGATGGAAGATTTTTCTCTCTCTGTCTTTCAAGTAAATAAAGAAATCTTTAAAAAAAAATAGCTTGGGGCTGGTGCTGTGGCGCAGCAGGTTAACGCCCTGGCCTGAAGCACCAGCATCCCATATGGGTCTCGGTTCTAGTCCCGGCTGCTCCTTTTCCAACCCAGCTCTCTGCTATGGCCTGGGAAGGCAGTGGAAGATGGCCCAAGTCCTTGGGCCCCTGCAGCCTCGTGGGAGACCCAGAAGAAGCTCCTGGCTCCTGGCTTCGGATCGGCGCAGCTCTGGCCATTGTGGCGAATTGGGGAGTGAACCAGTGGATGGAGGACCCCTCTCTCTCTCTCTCTCTCTCTCTCTCTGCCTCTCCTCTATGTAACTCTGACTTTCAAATAAATAAATAAATAAATCTTAAAAAAATAGCTAAGTAAGATGTACTTAAATGCAGACCCTCAAGCATAATTTGACAAGGTGGCCCCTGACCAGGAGGTAGGATTCCCTATTAGGGAGTCTGCAGAGGGGGAGGCCTGGAAGTGGGGGATGAGGATGTGAGGGCTCTAGAAGAAGATGACCATCTCCAATTACTGTCTCTTGGGCCTTGTAACAGCTGCTTAAATAACTGGACCTGTGCAGCTTCTGCAAACTGGATTTCTTCCTCAAAATGGCATGTTTTTACCTGAAACCCTCCCCAAGGAGAAAAAGCTAAAAACCAGAAAAGCCAGAAAACTCCACCAAATAGAGCTCCAGTTTGCATTTGAAGAGAGAGACAGAGAGACAGAGAGAGAAATGTACTTCTTGGAGCCCGCGGAGTGTGGGTGTCACAGGGGTGCATGTGTGAGAGGTGGCTGTGTGCACCCAGCTGGGGGATTCTAGCCTCTCTCCTGTTTGTCTGTTACTGTGTTAAGGTTTGCTGGTAACTGTAAGCAACAGCCCTTGTTAGTTCCTCTTGAGATTGTCCACCACTCCCCACCCTTCTTTCTCACCTCCAGCATCCTGTTTGTCTCCCTGCCTCTGTCCTCTGCCACCCCATCCCCACCCCCTCTCAGCTGCCTGTCCTTTAAGCCAAGCTTTTCTCTCCTCAATTAGTCAAGTTAACTCTTTTTTTTTTTTTAACAAAGTCATTCAAATCCCCAAAGACATGCAATCTATTCATCTTTTTCATGCATTGATTTGTGCTGCTACAAATTGTGAATGCCTTTAAACTATGTCTACGTATGCTTGTTTATTCCATTCAGTATTGAAGATCGTGTATTTCCAGAAAATTTTGAACAGTGAGGAGGGAGAATGGGAAATTGGGGAACTTCTAACTTTGGGACTTTTCTGGTGGTCTTTGCCTATTTAAATTGGCTTGGTTCTGATAGGAACAAGAAACCATGTGTAGGGTGTCTATTTTCACATCAGTGTGATGTTTAGCTTACTAGATTTTAAAGACATTTTAACTAGTCAATAATTTTGCATCAGCTATGAAGACTTACATTTCAACTTCGCTCACTGTTTTTACAAATAGATCTATTAATTGTGACACATTATGGAACCTAGCACTTCAGTTTTATAAGTTTATGGAACATATTTAGACATTTTTTAGGATAGCATCATAAAGAAGTCATCTAGCACAAATGAGTATAAAATTTTGCCCAATAGACACAATATCCTCACAGCAGAGAAAACTGATGTTAAAAAAAGAAAATAGTTCATTTTTTAAAGGAAAGAATTACTGTCAAAATTTGACTTTTACTACATAGAAATTTGTCTGACTAGCCTCTTTTTCTGTGGTGCAGATAAGAGAAATGAAGATGCAAAAGAAGCAGACTTAGGCTCCTGACTCCAGCTTCCTGCCAGTGTGGACCCTGGGAGACAGCAGTGATGGCGCAGGTAATGGGATCCCTGCGGGAGACTTCTCGTCCTGGGTTTGGCTCAGCCCTGGTTGTTGCAGGCATTTGGGGTGTGAACCGTTTCTGGAAGCACGCATTCCCTCTCTCTGCTTCTCAAATAAATACATTAAAAATCAGAAATTGATGCTGATGGTGGTGGAATTCTAAACTCCTATCAATATCTTCGGTTTCTCTTTCTATTTTGTGATAGCTGAAAAATGAAGATTTTCCCTCAGATTCACAAATTTTTCTTCCTTTCCATATTTGTTCATTTTCTTATATGGCAGATTTTTCAAATGCAATTCATTTGTTTTTTTAAGGTGAGGACGTCTTGAGGAAGTTCCTGAGGTTCAGGGGAACAGAAGTCTCCACCGGGGAGCTCTCTCCAGATCCCAGGAGAGTGACCCTTGGTAGAGTATCAGTTTTACACTCTTCCTCTCAGCAGATATCTCCAGCTATTCCCTATTGTGTTGCATTTGAAACTCTAGAACTTTCCAAAGCCCAGTCCTCAGGACTTGTTTGTTTTGTTAGGTGAGAATGTGATCTAGTTAGTATGATTTGGGGGCAGGCATTTGGACCAGTGTTTAAGCCATATCAGAGTACCTGGATTCAATTCCTGACTCTGCTCTCTGTTCCAGCTTCCTGCTAATACATTTCCTGAGAGATGGTGGCTCAAGTACTTGGTCCCTGCTACCCACATGGGAGACTTGGCTGGAGTCCCTAGCTCCCAGCTTTGGCACAGGGTGGGGGGTGGGGGTGGCTGGGGCCCTTCACGCCTTTAGGGGATGACTCAAGAATGGGAACTCTTTGTCCCTCTCTTCTCAATTAAAATAAAAATCAGTATGACAACTCCAAATTAGCCACAATTCTTTAAAGATTTATTTATTGATTTGAAAGGCAGAGAGAGAGAGAGAGAGAGAGGCAGAGAGTAAGGGAGGGAAGGAGAGAGAGAGAGGGAAGAAGGGAGAAAGGGATAGGGAGGGAAGGAAGGAGGGAGAGAGAGAGACAGAGAGGTCTTCCATCTGCTGATTCACTCCCCAGATGGCCTCAATGGCCACACCTGTGCAGATCCAAAGCCAGGAGCTGGGAGCTTCCTCTGGGTCTCCCATGTGGGTGCAGGGGCCCAAGGACTCAGGCCATCATCTACTGCTTTCCCAGACCATAGCAGAGAGCTGGATTGGAAGTGGAGCAGCCAGGACTTGAACACGCCCCCCCATACGGGATGCTGGCACTGCCATAGCACTGGCCCCTACAATTCTTAATATATTTCTCTTGACTTTCTTCTGTCCTCAGAGAAAAAGATATGGTTAGATGCTTAAAAAAAAAAAAATTTTAATGGAGCCCCTTGATATAGAAGACTAGACAGCGATGTGTTGTACAAGTCAGACAGCGATTGCTGTGCCTGATGGCCAGCCTGAGAACACTGCTGACTGTCCTTTCAGTCCCGGGTACCACTCTTTCTAGCCCACAGCCGGTAGGAACGAGGGGAGGAAGGCAAGGTTCATTTAGCTTACTGTCGTGAAAGCCTGTCCCTTAAACTTGCTTTAAAAAAGAAAAAAAGTGTATAATTTAAATTTTCGTTTCAAACCCAGATCCTCCAAAATTTTTAAAAAGCTCTTTTTCTATTTGACACTGTTACCTTTCCCCTACACAGTTTATAAGTATCATTAGCTTCACCTCTGGTAGTTGTTCATAAAGTGGGGGAAGGGCTTTGTGGTTTCTGTCACAACTCTTTATACTTAACAGATAGATTTATGTTATTTTTTTTAAAAAAGATTTATTTATTTATTTGAAAAGCAGAGTTACAGAGAGGCAGAGGCAGAAAGAGGTTTTCCATCCACTGGTTCACTCCACTCCCCAGATGGCTGCAAAGGCCGGAGCTGCACCGATCTGAAGCCAGGAGCCAGAAGCTTCTTCTGGGTCTCCCACATGGGTGCAGGTGCCCAAGGATTTGGGCCGTCTTTTACTGCTTTCCCAGGCCATAGCAGAGAGCTGGATCGGAAGTGGAGCAGTCGCTAGCCCTGATTTATTTATTCTAACAACTAATTTCCTAGGCTATAAAAATTACTTAAGTTTAATTTTATTCATATGAGAGGGGAAAAAAGAGGGCTTTTCCATCTGCTGGTTCACACCCCAAGGGCCAGAAATAATTTACATTGGGTCTGGTGCTGGGGCTTAGTAGGTTAAGCCTCTGCCTGTGGTGCCAACATCCCATATAGGCACCAGTTCAGGTCCTGGCTGCACCTCTTCCAATCCAGCTCTCTGCTAATGCACCTGGGAAAGCAGTGGGAGATGGCCCAAGTGTGTGGGCCCCTGAACCTATGTGGGAGACCCAGAAGAAACTCCTGGCTCCTGGCTTCGGATTTGCCCAGTTCTGGCTGTTGCAGCCATTTGGGAAGTGAACCAGCAGCGGATGGGAAACCTCTCTCTGTGTCTCTGCCTGTCACTGTCTGTAGCTCTGCCTCTCAAATAGATAAATACATTTTTTAAATCTTGAAAAAAATATTCTTAAAAAAAAAAAAAAAAGAACTGAGGCTGAGAGCTGGGAGCTCAGTCTAGGTATTCCACGGGGGTGGCAGGAACTCATTTGCTTGAGGTGTTACTGCTGCCCCTCCTCCTCCCCCAGCCCACTCTGCATTTGTGGGAAGCTGCAGTCAGGAGCCAGAGCCAAGGATGGAACCCTGATGTTCCGATATGGCACATGGATGTATTGGCAGCCACGCCAAATGCCTGCTCCTACAAATTACTTTGTCCATTTGGATTTCTCTGTCCATAGAAAGGATGCCTATTCTATTATTTACATTGTATTGATATGAATTATTATATATATATATTTAAAGATTTATTCATTTATTTGAAAGACAGTTGTAGAGAGAGAGGAAGAGACAGAAGCAAAGACCTTCCATCTACCGATTTACTCTCCAAATTGTGCAACGGCCAGGGCTGAGCCAGGCCGAAGCCAGGAGCTTCTTCCAGGTCTCCCTTGTGGGTGCAGGGGGCCAAGTATTTGAGCAATCCTCTGCTGTTTTCCCAGGTGCATTAGCAGGGAGTTGGATTGGAAGTGGATCAGCCAGGAACCACATGGGATGCAGCAGTTTCACCTGGTATGTCAAAACACCAACCACCGAATTCTATTTTATTCATTATTGCATACACTTGTTTCAATATCTTTGGGATACTTATTCCTGAAAATACAAGCTATATTCAAAATAGTGGTTTTTAGAAAGGTATTTTCCAAAGAAAATACTATTATTAAATATTACATTTAAAATATTACCATTAAAAGTTAGATGAAAAATGTCTTCCTACAACACATAAAAATGGAGTGAAAGTTAGGCTGGGGGTTGAGTGACAAATGCTTAAATTGTTAAAATAGCCGAAGACCATGCTGTCCATGACTAGTGTGAGGTTAGGGTCCTCTCTGCCAGCCCCAATTATTATTATTTTTTTGAGAGGTAGAGTTACAGACAGAAAGAGGGAGAGACAGAGACAAAGGTCTTCCATCTGCTGGTTCACTCCCCAATTGGCTGCAACGGCTGGAGCTGGGATGATCCAAAGCCAGAAGCCAGGAGCTTTTTCCGGGTCTCCCACCGGGTGCAGGGGCCCAAGCACTTGGGCCATCTTCTGCTTTCTTAGGCCCTAGCAGAGAGCTGGATCAGAGGAGGAGCAGCCGGGACACCACAGGCAGAGGCTTAGCCCAGCCCCATTCCCCATTATCTTTATTATTATTGCTTCGTTGCAATTAAATTAAAATAGGCACAATGGATTTTTAAAGGTCATGTGATGTTGGCATAAGTGGTCAGAAAGCAACTAGAGGAATATCACACTCATCTTGCCTAAAGCCTTTGCATTAAATCAAGAGAAAAGAATTTTCCTTCTGCTGGCTCATGTTACATAGCAAATGAATCAAAAAAAATCACAAACGACAACAAATTAATTCTTTTTTTTAATATTGTTTTAATTCTTGGTTACATTTTTTCTGTTTTTTCCCCCTTCCTCTCTCTCTCTTTTTTTAAACAGATTTATTCATTTATTTGAAAGGCAGAATTACAGAGAGGCAGAGGCAGAGAGGTCTTCCTTCTGCTGGCCCACTCCCCAAATGGCCACAGTAGCTGGAGCTGAGCCTATTCAAAGCTTCTTCCAGGTTTCACATGAGGGTGCAGGGGCCCAAGGACTTGAGCCATCTTCCACTGCTTTCCCAGGCCATAGCAGAAAGCTGGATCAGAAGTGGAGCAGCTGGGACTTGAACCAGCACCCATATGGGATGCCAGCATTGCAAGTGGTAGCTTTACCCTCTGTGCCACAGCACCGTTCCCAAAATTAATTCTTAACATTATTTCTTCTACCTATGATTGTATAGACGTACTCCTGCTGTTGCCTAAGCCCATGAAAGCAGAGCTAAAACACATTTCCACATCCTGCTGCCGCTTTGGTTATCTGAAGCAAGCGCCTACCCGATCAACAGGAACAGCGAGAGGAAAGAGTAGTCCGAAGCCTTGGAAAGGAAACTCCCAGCCTTCACCAAAGTTGTCAGGCAAGGAAGGGGACCAATGTGTGTTCACCACATAGGTGCAGCGGTGCAGCCTACCCTCTGGGTTCCACCACGGCACTGCTGACTCTGTCACTGTGATTCTACACGTCCTGCTTTGGGTAGGACATAGAGAACAACTTGTGCTCAACTTGTTCAAGAGACCTGGATTGTCGCGTGCCTTCTCCACACCTTGCACTGTCCAGGCTGGGATTGGGTGTTAATATCGACTGTGCTTGCTGCCTTTCCAATGATCTAATTAAAATCTGTGTACAGGGGTCGGCACTGTGGCTCAGTAGGTTAATCCTCCGCCTGCAGCGCCTGCATCCCATATGGGCACCGGGTTCTAGTCCCAGTTGCTCCTCATCCAGTCCAGCTCTCTGCTGTGGCCTGGGATAGCAGTGGAAGATGGCCCAAGTCCTTGGGCCCCTGCACCAATGTGGGAGACCCAGAAGAAGCTCCTGGCTCCTGGCTTTGGATTGGCGCAGCTCTAGCCGTTGCGGCCATCTGGGGAGTGAACCAGCAAATGGAAGACCTCTCTCTCTTTCTCTGTGTCTGCCTCTCTGTAACTCTGCCTTTCAAATAAATAAATAAATCTTAAAAAAAATAAAGTTCCTGTTCTCCGGGCTGGCATTGCAGTCAGCAGGTTAAGGCATCTCTGTGGGTACCTGCATCCCATATGGTAATGCCTGAGATCGAGTCCTGCCTCCACTTCCCATCCAGCTTTCTGCTAATGTGAACCCTGGAAAGCGGTAGGTGACGGGTCAAGTATCTGATCCCTGCCTTTCACAAGTTGGAGTTCCTGGATCCTGACTTTGGCCTGGTCCAGTCCTGGCTGTTGTGGGCATCTGGGAAGTAAAGCAGCAGATGGTGGAAGTCAGTCTCCTCTCCTCCACCCCCCTGCCTCTTCCTTTCAAATAAAAATTTTTTTTTTTTTTTTTGACAGGCAGAGTGGACAGTGAGAGAGAGAGACAGAGAGAAAGGTCTTCCTTTGCCGTTGGTTCACCCTCCAATGGCCGCCGCTGCAGCCGGCGCACCGCGCTGATCCGATGGCAGGAGCCAGGATCCAGGTGCTTTTCCTGGTCTCCCATGGGGTGCAGGGCCCAAGCACCTGGGCCATCCTCCACTGCACTCCCTGGCCATAGCAGAGAGCTGGCCTGGAAGAGGGGCAACCGGGACAGAATCTGGCGTCCCAACCGGGACTAGAACCTGGTGTGCCGGCGCCGCAAGGTGGAGGATTAGCCTATTGAGCCACGGCGCCGGCCTCAAATAAATTTTTAAAATGAATAAACATTTTAAAACATTTCTATCCTCAAAGAAATTTTAATCTAGAATGGAAACCGGTCAGATTTACTCAAAGATAATCAACGGTATGTGAAAGAAAGTCATTTTTTTTTTTTTAAAAGAATCCACAAAGACTGAAGTTGGCTCTCTGTATCTATGGCTATAGCATCTGGGGATTCAACCGAGCGCAGATCAGAATTATTATTTTTTTTAATTGTGTCTGTACTGAACATGTTTTCTCTTGTCATTATTCCCTGAATAATATAGCAACTGTGTCCATAGTATTTGCACTGCATTAGGTATTATAAGTCATCTAGAGACACGTGGCAGGGGGCATTTGGTACAATAGTTAAATGTCACTTGGAATGCCTGTATCCCATGTCAGAAGGTCTGGGCTTGGGTCCTGGATCAGATTCTGATCCCATGTTCCTGCTATGGGAAACAGCTACACACAGGAGACTCAGATGTAGTTCTAGACTCCTGGCTTGGGCCTGACAAGTCCCAGCTATTGTGAACATTTGGTAGTGAATCAATGAATTGAAGATCTTGCCCTGTCAGTTCCTCTGCCTTTCAAATAAAGAATAAAAATATTAAAACATTATTTTAAAATAAGGTATAAGTGGTGGCCAGCGCTGTGGCTCACTTGGTTAATCCTTTGCCTGCAGCGCCAGCATCCCATAGTCCCGGTTGCTCCTCTTCCAGGCCAGCTCTCTGCTGTGGCCCAGGAGGGCAGTGGAGGATGGACCAAGTGCGTGGGCCCTTGCACGTGGGAGACCAGGAGAAGCACCTGGCTCCTGGCTTCGAATCGGTGCAGCGCCAGCTGTGGTGGCCATTTGGGGAGTGAACCAATGGAAGGAAGACCTTTCTCTCTGTCTCTCTCTCTCTCACTGTCTATAACTCTACCTGTCAAAAAAAATAAAAAAATAAAGTATGAGTGAGGATGGACCCGAGCTTCTGAGGATTCGGGTATCCACAGGGGTCCTGGGACCGATCCCCTGCAGACACTGAGGGACAGTGCAGCATCACTTTGGCTTCGGAGGATGAGGACGCATCCTGGGAGTGGGGAGTGTGAGCTGAGCCTCCAGGACGGTGGTGTGCCTGGAAGTGAGGCAGAGACCAGCGCAATTGCAGCGGGTGGACTCTGTGGGGGACTTGGAGAAATGAGGTTGATTGGCAGCAGAGAGCTATAGGGCCCTGTGCTTGAATTTAGGCCAGAGTTTAGATGTTAAACAGACAAGGCCCTACTCTACCCAAAGTTGGATTTTCCCAAGACCAGCTTGGATTTCATGAAATCTTGCCCTTTCCAATTAAGTGATCTAAGGGTGACAATATTTAAAAGTTACATCAAGTTATTTACAAGTCAGGTCGCATTTTTTCCCCAGCTATGTCCTGATTTGGTTTTGGAAACTAGAACCTTCTTTTTTTTGTAAGATTTATTTATTTACTTGAAAGTCAGAGTTACACAGAGAGAGAAGAGGCAGAGAGAGAGAGAGAGAGAGAGAGAGAGAGGTCTTCCATCCGCTGGTTCACTCCCCCAGATGACCACAATGGCCGGAGCTGCACCGATCTGAAGTCAGGAACCAGGAGCTTCTTCTGGGTCTCCCACGCGGTTGCAGGGTCCCAAGGACTTGGGCCATCTTCTATTGCTTTCCCAGGCCATAGCAGAGAGCTGGATTGGAAGTGGAACAGCTGGGCCTTGAACCGGTGTCCATATGGGATGCTGGCACCGCAGGCGGCGGCCTCACCCACTACACCACAGCGCCAACCCCTAGAACCATTTTCATTGGCTAAATATCTGTGTCAAGCTCAGAACTAGACATTCTAGTTATTTATTGGGTGCTATGTAACAGGCTCTGTTTTGGGCTTCTGGGGCCCATCATAGAGTGAAAGGAAAATAGCACTGCCCTCGTGGGGCTTTGATTCCTGGGAGTTTGCTAGGTCTGCTGCAGTTGGGGGGCTTAAATAGCAGAGGGTGGCTTTCACATGGTACTGGAGGCTGCAGGTGTGAGATCAGGGCGCTATGGGCAGGGCTGATTTCTTCTGATGGCTGTTAGGGAAGGACCCGCTCCAGAGCTCTCCTGCTTGCCTTGTGTCTCCTCCCTGTGTCTTTGCATTGCCTTCCGTCTCTTCTTAGCCGCGTCCAAATTTCCCCTTGTAAGCATGCCAGTCACATTGCACTAGAGCCCATTCCAGTGATCTCATTGTAACTTAGTCACCTCTGAAAAGACCCTGTCCATCCCCAAATACAGTCACATTTTGAGGCACTGGAGCTTAGAACTTACGAATCTTGAGTGGGGACACAACTGGATCGACAACAGGTGGACGTTGGTGAGAGAGCCGTGAGTCAGCCCTGGAACTTGGTGGTCCTGGGCACTGTCCTCAGAGCTTGTAAGTCACCTGTGAGCGTGGTACACCCACTTCACAGTGAGGAAGCTGAGGGAAGTCCGTGCCACTTTGTGGAGGGTGTTGCTTTGTTGGCAGTGTCTTTCAGGTTTTCGTTGGCTTGAAGCCTCAGGATTGAAAATGAGCCACGGCCAAGTGTGTAAGGAAGACATTCTTGGCTAATTGAGATTTAGAACTGACCAGTTTTTTTTTAAGTGTGTTTCTTTATTTAAAAGGCAGAATGGCAGAAAGAAAGACTGAGAGAGAATCTTCCATCAGCTCTGAGATGGGCAGAAGTAGGGCGGAGTCCTGAGAAGGAGGCAGCGAGGCAGCGAGCCCTTCAGAAACGATGCACATGGGTCTTTGCTGAGTAGTAGGACATGGTCCCAAGTACCTAGAATGACACTTCACAGGGCCAGACCCGAAAGACAGACAAGTGAGTTGTTAGCTGAGTCCATGTCAGAGCACACATGAAGTGGGAAATGTCTGGGGCCTGACTAGCCAAAGGAAAGCGCTCATTCTTCCCTGGGTGTTCAGTGGCCACCCAGAACAGTCCTCCGTTAGTATGCAGGGCTGGACTCTCCTTGAAGCAAAGGATGCTCTGGACCAGGAGGGCAGTATTTATTCTTAAATTTACAGATAGCAGATATTTTAGACTTGTGAGCGGGGTGGTCTCAGTCACACTAATCACTTCTCTCATTATACTGTGAAGGCAGCAATAGACAATACGTAAGTGAGTGGGTTTATGGCTGTGTTCCAATAAAGCTTTATTAACAAAAACAGATGTCCAACCTCTGGGCTGTAGTTTGTTAATCTCTGCTCTAGACCAATGCTGTGCAATCTAAATATAAAGCATACCATATGTAGTAAAAAATTTAAAAAGCCAAACTTTTAATAACAGGACAATATATCCAAAATTTATCAATTCAACATATAATTAATATAAAAATTGTTAATGAGACAGTTTGGCTTCTTTTTCTCATCCATCAAGCTTGTATCACATCTCAATTCAGATTAGCTACATTTTGATAGCCAATGTAGCTAATGACTTCTGTACTGGCCACAAAGCTCTGATCACTCTAGTTAAGCTCAAAAACAGGTCTTGAAGGTTAGCAATTAACTTATCACCTGGAAAAGGAAAGTTCATTGCTCTTTAAAGGAAGATAACAGAATGCAGACACTAAATAATGTAACAATAACAATGGCAGCTTCAAATACAATTAGGCTAAAAAGCAGGAAAAAATTATGCACTACAAGGAAAGGAATCTGTTAAGAGAAACAGTCACAGAAATGACCAGATAGTGAAAGCAACAGTCAAGGATGATAAAATATTATATCATGTATAGGCACTTAAAGGAAAACGTGGAAATATCAGAAGAAAAAAAAAAGATATAAAAGAGAGCCAATGAGAGAGAACTTCTACTTTGCTTATGGCCTTGTCTAAATACTAACGGAGATTGTGGATTCAAAATGCTTCCATGGCCTTGGCAGCTCAGGTCAAGAGCCTGGGGTGGTCACTGACATCATACATAAGAGTGTTGATTGTTAAATTACCAACAGTCACTGTGTACTTACTTCCCATGCAGGACCTCTGTCCTCAATGAGTTGTATTATGAGAATTAACTGTAAAATTTGTTCTCAGTTTTGTGTGTGTGTGTGTGTGTGTACAAATTGTTGAAATCTTTACTTAATATAGAGTTGGTCTTCTGTGTATAAATTTAATTGAAAATGAATCTTAATAGAGAATGGGACTGGGAATGGAGAGAGAGGAGGAAGAGGGGTGGGAGTGTGGGTGGGAGGGCAGATATGGTGGGAAGAATCACTATAGTCCTAAAGTTGTACTTATGAAATTTGTATTCCTTAAATAAAAGATTTCTGTGGGGAAAAAAAAAAAAAGAACCAAGTAGGAGTTCTAGAGATGAAAAATGCAATACCTGAAATGAGAATTTCATTAGGTTAGGATTAACAGCAATTAGATACTCATTGCAGAAGAAAAGATTATTGAACCTATACATATGTCAATTCATGTCTACGTAAGACATATTGGTCACCTTTGCTTTACTATAATGAAATACCTGAGGCAGGCTAACTTTAAAAAGGAAAGAGGGGCTGCAGTGGACTAGGCGTCTGCCTGCAGAGCCAGCATCCCATATGGGCACCAGTTCAAGTCCCAGCTGCTCCTCTTCCAATCCAGTTCTCTGCTATGACCTGAGAAAGCAATGGAAGATGGCCCAAGTGCTTGGGCCTCTGAACCCACGTAGCAGACCTGGAAGAAGCTCTTGGCTCCTGGCTTCATATTGGCTCAGCTCTGGTCATTGCAGTCATTTGTGGAGTGAACCAGCAGATGAAAGACCTCTCTCTGTGTCTCTCCCTCTCTCTATCTGTAACTCTACCTCTCAGATAAATAAATAAAATCTTAAAAAAAAAAAAGTTTTATTTGCACAGTTCCAGAGGTGCATAGTCCAAGATTGGCTGGGTGCCGTTGTTCTGGCCCCTGGTGATGGTGTTGCCGCTGGTGGAGTCCTGAGGTGGCACGGGGCACCCCAAGGTGAGAAACAGGAGTGAGCAGATGTCTGTCTAAATCTCGCCTTATAAAGCCACAGGATTCCATCCTGGGGGTCCCACACCGATGGCCCTACCTGAAAGGCCCTACCTTAAGCTGTAACTGGATTAAGTTAGTACCATCTACATAGGACTTTGGTGACTAAATTGCTTCAGTTCAAAGACCAAATCATATTCAAACCATAGTGCGAGAACCACAGAGAGAAAAAGGACTGAAGAAAACAAACGAACAAAAACCCAAATGAGCACAGAGCTTCAGTGATCTATGGGAAAGTAGCAAGTGGTCTATCAGACTAGGGAAAGGAAGAACGGGCAGTTGAAGAAAAAATGGCTAAAACATTTCCAAATCTGATGAAAGTTGTATTTCATAAATCCAAGAAGCTTAATGAACGAAAGGCTGAAAAGCTCACACACACAAAAATTAAGGCAGATCACAATCGAATTGCCTGAGACCAGTGTTGTAGGGAAAAATCTGAAAAACACTAAGAGAAAAACACGTGATATTCAGAGGAAGGTAGAAATGATCACAGACTTACCTTGGGAACTCCACAGGTCAGAAGACAATGAAATAGCATCTTTAGCATGCCGAAAGAACAACATCCTCCTCCAATTCCATTTCCGTGAAAACTTTCTTCAGAAACAAAAGTGAAATGAAAACTTGATCAGGCAAACACAACTTGAGGGAATTTGTTGCTCGCTGATATATACAAGAAATGTTCAAGGAAGTTATCCAGGCAAAAGCAAAATGATGCCAGATAGAAACTTGGAATACATGATGCCAGAAATGGTAGATATGTGAGCAAATAGAAAAGATTTTGTTTCCTCATTTTTAAATTTCTTAAAAGACAAATTGACTATGTAAAGCAAAAATAATAACAATGTATTTGAGATTTATCAAATACATAGAAATAAAATGTTTGACAACAGCTTGAAGGATAGAATGGTGAGAAATGGAAGCCCATAGTTGTAAGGATTTTACATTATACAGTATAATGGTACTTAAACACATATTATGAATTAAAAATGCGTATCCTAAATTTTAGAGCAATCACTAAAAATAGATTTTGTATATATGGGTGCTCCTTGACTAACAATGGGTTACATCCCACCAAACCCGTTGTACCTTGAAAGTATCATTGGTTGAAAATGCATTTAATGCCCTGCTGACCATCATAGATTAGCAACACAGTGTACTATAGAGTATCAGTTATTTACCCTCATGATCCTGTGGCAGACATGGAGTTAGGCTCACTGCCAGTGCCTAGCATCCTGAGAGAGTACTGCACTGTGTGTGTATTGTTAGCCCAGGAAGAGACCAAAATTCAAAGTAGAGTTTCTACTGCATGTGTATAGATTTTACACCATTGCAAAGTAAAAACATTTTAAGTTGGGCCCATCACAAGTTGGGAACCATCTGTATACACACACATGTAAACCAGCAAAAAGTAGATTTAAACTAGCTATATTGACAATTATGTTAAATAGACATGGTTTAAACATGCCAATTAAAAGAGATGTCAGACTAGATTTAAGAAAAGGTAAGCTCCTATTACGTGCTATGTATAAGAAGACCACTTTAAATATATAAACCAGATAGGTTAGAAGTAAAAGGATGGGGCCGGTGCCGCGGCTCAATAGGCTAATCCTCCGCCTGCAGCGCCAACACACTGGGTTCTAGTCCTGGTCGGGGCGCTGGATTCTGTCCCGGTCACTCCTCTTCCTGTCCAGCTGTTTGCTGTGGCCTGGGAGTGCAGTGGAGGATGGCCCAAGTGCTTGGGCCCTGCACCAGCATGGGAGACCGGTAGAGGCACCTGGCTCCTGGCTCCTGGCTTCGGATCAGCGCGGTGCACCGGCTGCAGTGCGCCGGCCGCGGTGGCCATTGCGGGGTGAACCAATGGAAAAGGAAGACCTTTCTCTCTGTCTCTCACTGTCCACTCTGCCTGTCAAACAAACAAACAAAAAAAAAAGTAAAAGGATGGAAAAGTTGTATTATGCAGTCACTAATTTTAAAGAGGCTGGACTGAATATGTTAATTTTAGACACAGCAGACAATATAACAAGGAATATTACTAGGACTGAGAAGGGACTTTTCCTAATGATAAAGGTACTAATTCTTCAGGAAGAGGTGACAATCCTAAACGTAATAGAACTTCAAAATATGTGTAGCAAACCTGACAGAAGTGAAAGGAAATTTTTAAGAAATCCACAATGAGTGTTCAAGAGTTGAATGTTCTTTAATTAACAGAGAAAGGAGACAGAAAATCTGCAAAGTGTGGAAAACTGGAACAGCACCATCAGTTAGTTGGACTCTCCCCAACAATGGATACACGTTCTCTTCAAGTTCACATGGAACATTAATCAAAAGGTACCATATGTTAATCATAAAACAAGTCCCAACAAGTTTGAAAGTATTAAAATCATAGAGTATGTCCTCTGACTATAATGAAATTAAAATAGAAATTAATAACAGCTATTTGAGAAATCTCCAAATATTTGGGAATTAAACAACAGACTTCCAAACAACACATGGGTTGAGGAAGAAATCACAAGAGAACTTAGAAAATATTTGGAACTGAATAAAAATGAAAACACATATAAAAACTTACAAGATGTAGCTGAGGCAGTGTCTCAAGGCAAATGTATAGTATTAAATGCTTATGATGGAAAAGGAGAAAGGTCAAAAATCAGTAATATTCTGCCTTAAAGCCAGAAAAGAATAAATTAAATCAGAACAAAATAATAATAATAAAACAGAACTCAATGAAATATGAAACAAAATAACCAAGAAAGTTAATGAGACCTAAAGCTGGTTCCTGGAAAATTTCAACAAAATTTAATATTCTCTAGCTAGATTTAAGAAAATCTTAAATCATTAAGAAAAGCATTTCTTTTCATTAAGAAAAACATTAAGAGAAATAACAAATGATCAATCCCAGGAATGAGGGTGGGACACTCTGTGGATGCTAGAGACATCACAAAGCAAAGAAATTTATATCTTAAGTAATTTGTTGTTCAACAGCTTAGGTGAATGGTGAAATTCCTTAGGAAACACAACTTAGCAAATGTGATTAAAGTAGAATACTTACATAGCCTTATATATAGTAAATTAAATGTGTGATTTGTCAAAGTCCTACAAAGAAAACTTGAGGCCTAAGTTGCTTCGCTTTCGAATTTTATCAAACATTTAAAAATTTTTTTTTCTGAACTCTTAGAAAACAGCAGGAGGGAATGTTTCCCTACTCATCTTATGAGGCCCATATCACCTTGCATGAAATCTATGAAAATATTATGAGACAACAAACTCACTCCAGAAAACCAATGTCTTTCAAAAAATCCATAGCAAAATACTAGCAAAGTGAGCATAGCAATCTCTTAAGGAAGTAGTGTAACCTGAGCAAATAGATGTTATTGCAGGAATGTAAGAGATGGGAGAGGAAGGCCATGATGGTAGGGGTGTATGTCGATGAAAAGTCAAATACAGGTAAAAAGGAACCACCTCGACTCTCTGTATTTATAGCAGCTAACGTTGCTGAGCGCTTACTGTACCCCAGGAAGCACGTTCAGAGCGCTGTGTGAATTCTTTAGTTTGGTCTTTATAAAAACCCCATGAGGCAAATCCTGTTGTTGCCAGTGTTTTATAGATGAGTAAACTAAGGCACAGAGAAATTTCAGAATTTGTACTCATGCTCATCTGATGTCAGGCTCTGCACTCTGCGCTAGTGCACACAACTACTTATTGCCTGCGCCTTCCCCTGGCTCAGTGGGTTTCATCTCTCCGAAATGTTTATCTGCTTTTTCAGTCCATAATTAGGAGTTGCAGTCTGAGTCGAAATGTTAAGTGGTTTCAAATGCAAAACAGTTCCAAAATAAAACTGTGTTTATTAAATTATAAAATGTATGAACCTAGAGTAGGTGATGACTTCTATTATCACCTCCTAAATTTCTATGTGGCTACAAATGTGGTCTTCCAGAACTTGAAAAGAGGGGCCAGTGCTGTGGCACAGTGGGTAAAACCACTGCCGGCAGTGCCAGCATCCCATTTGGGCACCCATGAGTCCCGGCTGCTCCACTTCCGATCCAGCTTTCTGCAATGACCTGGGAAAGCAGTGGAAGATGGCCCAAGTCCTTGGGCCCCTGCACCTGCATGGGAGACACAGAAGAAGCTCCTGGCTCCTGCCTTCAGATCGCCTCAGCTCTGGCCATTATGGCCATCTGGGGAGTGAACCAGCAGATGAAAGACCTCTCTCTCTGCCTCTGCCTCTCTCTAACTCTGCCATTCAAATAAATCTTAAAAAAAAAAAAAAAAAAAAAAAAAAAAAGAACTTGAAAAGATTACTTTCCCTTACCTATGTGGACAAAATACTCTGTCTTCTCTCCTTGTGTAGATCTTGATTTTTTTTTTTTTATTGAGATAGAAGGAGAGAGGAGGTGAGAGAGAGAGAGAAAGAGAGAGAGAGAAGGGGACAAGGGAGAGAGAGAGAGAAGGGGAGAGAAAGCGAGAGAGAGAGCTCCCATCTATTCATTCATTCCCCAAATACTCAACAGCAGCTAGGGCTGGGCCAGGTCAAGGCCAGGAGCTGAGAACTCAATCTGGGTCTCCCATGTGAGTGACAGGGACCCAATTCACTTGAACACTGGCCGCCTCCCTGTGTTCACATTAGCAGACCGGGAGCATAGTGGGGACTTCAGCCCGGGCACTGCAGTACAGAGCGCAGGTATCCCAAGCAGCGCCTTCCTGGCTGCACCATCTGCCTGTCCCCTCCTCCCACCCTAGTGTGGTTTTTTTGTTTGTTTGTTTTTGTTTGTTTGTTTGTTTGTTTGTTTTGACAGGTAGAGTTACAGACAGTGAGAGAGAGACAGAAAGAAGGTCTTCCTTCCGTTGGTTCACTCCCCTAATGCCTGCTAGGGCCGGCGCGCTGCGCTGATCCGAAGCCAGGAGCCAGGTGCTTCCTCCTGGTCTCCCATGGGGTGCAGGGCCCAAATACTTGGGCCATCCTCCACTGCACTCCCTGGCCACAGCAGAGAGCTGGCCTGGAAGAGGGGCACCCGGGACAGAATCTGGCTCCCCAACTGGGACTAGAACCTGGGGTGCCAGCGCCGCAGGCAGAGGATTAGCCAAGTGAGCCACGGTGCTGGCTCCCATCCTAGTTTTTAACATACAACGAATGAATGTTTGTTTCCTCTACTTTTTACCTCATCCAATCCAACTTATTCCACTATATTTTTTCATTGCCCTTTGCCCCTTCTAAATAATCTGTATAATTTACTTATGCATGACATTTACCATTTGCTTCTCCAGAGTGAAGGCTCCAGGGGAGGATTGGGCTGTGTTGTTCACGCGGCAGCTCCCAGCTCCTGGAGGTACATAGTAGATTCCTGATCACTACTGGGCCTGACTTGAAATGACTAGCAAATTTCTGTACTTAGGACATAATTATTTTGAAGCAAAGCGTAGGGGAGAATGGAGTGCTTGAAGAAATCATTTGTAATACTATCTTTTTTCTCTCTCTGTTCTGCAGTGTGTATCCGTCACCTGCTGTGGGTCCGCCCTGCTCGGGAGCCCTCCTGCCAGAGGGGAAGCAGATGTGCAAGAACTGTACGGAGGCACGCTTGGGAGAGCTGCTCAGGAAAACACTGGCGAGCGCTAGGAAAGCACGGATTTGGGCGCTCAGGCCGAGAAGTCCGTGAAAGAGGGGGCAGTAGCAGGGGGAGCCTGCAGGGAGAAGCAGCAGCAGGGCGAGGAGGAGAAAGCCCGCCGCGTGCCAGCTGTGGGGGGAGCCTGGCCTTCCTGTGGCAGAGGAGGTAGGCAGGGCAGACTGTGCAGCTTTGATGCACTGAGCCCAAATCAAACTTTAGAGTCACGGTCCCAGCACCTTAGAGTGAAGAAGGATTTAGGGGTTACGGAGAGGAGCGGTTTGTAGTTGGGCCTCAGCAGACAAGTGTGGGTCTGGGATGTAGTTTTCACCCTCCAGGGCGACATGGGAAAAATGTAAGCCATGGGGCACGTGGCTTAAAAAGATCAAGCCGAATGCTTGCAATCTAAACGATGCTTTCTCTCCCCGATGTCAAGGCTGTTTATGAGTGATGTGCTAGTAGGTAGTGCTCTTTTGTTTTTGTTTTTATTTCCTTGGCAACCCTATGTTAGTTGTAAGTGCCTCCCTGATTTGTTTGATTAGTTTAATTGCTCTGTTAAACCTCAGGGATCTGGAAACCCTAGTTCCTCAGAACTGAGACCCAGAGAGGTGATGGCGCTGCCTGGAACCAAACGGAGAAACACATAGTGCAGTGCTTCTGCTGTTGTGTGTAAGGCAGTTGTGTGCGTTACAGTATATCCTGTCTGTTTGGCGTGACTGGTTTCTTGTGCAGCATTTTAGACTCAGAAATGAAGCAGTCAGTTAACATGTTTGTTGTTTGGCAACTGGAAGTAGGCTTGGTCTCTGAGAAGTCTAACCAGATGGGATTGCTGCCTGTCACTGTTCGCTGAGGCTTTCAGAAATGTCACAGTCACGAAGTCATATACATGTGCTGTTATTACTGACTTTGATATGCAAATAAAGACTGTTCTTTTTCAATTTTTGAATGCGTGCTAATTTTGAAGGTGTTGTAAGCAACTTGAAAAAAAAAGGAATGGGGCCGTGGCATAGCAGGTAAAGCCGCTGCCTGCAGTGCCAACATCCCATATGGGCACCAATTTGAGTCCTGGCTGCTCCGCTTCTGAGCCAGCTCCCTGCTGTGGCCTGGGAAAGCAGTAGAAGATGGCCCAAGTCCTTGGGCCCCTGCACCCACATGGGAGACCCGGAAGAAGCTCCTGGCTCCTGGCTTTGGATCTGCACAGCTGTGGCCATCTGGGGAGTAAATCAGCGATGGAAGACCTCTCTCTCTCTGCCTCTCCTCTCTTTATGTAACTGTGACGTTCAAATAAATGAATCTTTTTAAAAAAAGGAATTAAGGTGACTGAATTTCTTTAATTCTAATTTCAAACATCTCAATGCTGTCCAACTTAGAAATTCTACTCCTGAGAGCTTATCATAAGGAAATAATCAGAGGTATGTGTAGAGATGTGTATAAAGGTATGAACTGCAACATGTTAAAGACTGAAAAATCATAAAAACCCAATAATAAAGAATTGATATAGTCATTCACCAAAAGGCAATTTGTTTATTAAAAGTGATTGTATATGTATCTTCTATGTATTTGTCTATTTTCTAATTTTTGTCTATCTCAAACATATTGTATTTAGGTAAATAAAAGTGAGAAAATTTACCTAGCTCAGTGCTTTGTCAAATACAATGTTCTTTATTTGTTTTTCTTACGCTTTTTTTCACATCGACAATTTTTTAAAAAGATTTTTTTATTTATTTGAAAGGCAGAGTTACAGAGGGATAGGGAGAGACAGAGAGGGAGAGAGAGATCTTTTATTCACTGGTAGCCACAATGGACAGGACTGGGCCAGCCTGAAGCCAGGAACCAGGAGCTTCATCTGGGTCTCCCAAGTGGGTGCAGGGACCCAAGCACTTGGACCATCTTCCACTGCTTTTCCCAGGTCATTAGCAGGGAGTTGGATGGAACGTAGAGCAGCCGGAACAGGAACCGGAGCCCATATGGGATGACAGCATTGCAGGCAGTGGCTTAGCCTGCACCACAATGTTGTGCCCGTACTCTTGACAGTTTTGATTAAAATAACTTGATAGCCAATCGAAGTTCAGTATATGCCAATTCTATATTTTATATTTTATTTTTAAATTATTTACTTTATTTGAGAGAGAGAAAGACAGGGATGTACTATCTGCTGGTTCACTCCCCAGTTGCACCAGCTGGGGCTGGGCCAGGCTGAAGCTGGGAGCCAGGAACGCAAAATCGGTCTCCCACATAGCTGGCAGGGAACTGAGTACTTCAGCGTCACCTGCGGCCTGCCTCCCAGGAATGCCTTCCTGTTGGAAGATGGAATTGTGAGCAGGGTCAGGACTCAAAGTCCAGATCTTAAGCACTAGGCCAAACGCCTGTCCCTAAGTTTTGGGTCGTCTTTTTTATTATTTATTTTAATTTCAACATCTTCAACTTTATGTAGTTTCTCTTAACTTTAATACCTGAAAGTGAGTGCTGTAAATCACACACAGTCATTTGCGTTTTGAACATTGCCACTCCTACAAGGTCCTATTGGAGGCCTGCACATTCTAATTAAACATCAACAGGGCAAGGATCACCAACTGAAAGGTCTAGAAAACCTTTGAAGAAATCAGAGTCTAAATAATTCTTTCTCTAGATGCAATTGCATCTCAGCTCACAGCAGGAATGTTGGCCATGGGTTTGCCAGGGAAAGAGTGCCCTTAGTGTCACCAGCCCCGGAGTGCTCCCCTCGGGAGAGGAAGACAGCAGGTGCCTGATGACGTCATAGCCATGCCTGTGTGTGTGTGTGTGTGTGTGTGTGTGTGTGTTTGGGGGAAGAGGTGCAGGTGTCTTCAATGCTGTGTCAGGTTGCTCTTTTAGAGCTCTTACAGCCTCCAGTGGTGCTCCTTCCTGGTAATTGTTCTACTTTTAAATAAATAATGAGTTGTTCAATGCCCAACTCTAGTATGTTAGAGACATGAGGGCAGGAGCCATGTCCTCCCCTCAAATCCACCAACTTCCCTGATACCTCGCATGGTGCCTTTTCTTCATTAGAGAGGATTTATGAAAATTTTGGTTGAATAAATGCCCGAATGGGTCTTAAATACCCTTCCTTCCCTTTCCTCCTTCCCTCTCAACCTCCCATCCTCCCTTCTTTCATTCCTTTATTTAAGGCTAACAGCTTTTATGGCTGCTATAGCTCTCCTTCCTTCCCCCAGCTGCTGAGTGGACAGTGAGAGAGAGAGACAGAAAGAGAAAGGTCTTCCTTTTCCTTGGTTCACCACCCCCTCAATGGCCGCTGCAGCCGGCACACCGCGCTGATCCAAAGCCAGGAGCCAGGTGCCTCTCCTGGTCTCCCATGCGGGAGCAGGGCCCAAGGACTTGGGCCATCCTCCACTGCACTCCCGGGCCACAGCAGAGAGCTGGACAGGAAGAGGGGCAACCAGGACAGAATCTGGCGCCCCGACCGGGACTAGAACCCGGTGTGCCAGTGCTGCAGGTGGAGGATTAGCCTAGTGAGCTGCGGCGCTGGCCACCCAGCTCCTTCTTAAAGCCATTCTGGAAGGGACCAGTTGTCAGCCTCCATGAGGTGGCTGTGGCCTCTTTGTCAGCAGGAGGACAGGCCTGGCCTCCACCCTCTGCCCTGCACCCCATCTGAGCCTAACCAGGCTGTCAGACTTGGCATGTGCTCTCCTCTTCCAAGCTGCCTCCTCTGAGCTCTGTGGCAGAGCCAAGCGCTTGTCTCCAGGTCTGCAGTATCACAGGGCTGCACTAAACACAGTTGCCTTTTTAGGACAACTCCTTTGGATTGGAGCATCGCTGTGGGGAACTCCCGCTCCTTCATCAGCAATATATGCACCCATCGCTGTGCAGTCAACTTGCTCTTCTGGAAGAGAGCTTGGGGAAGGCAGAGACTATCACTTACTGTTTCATTTGCATCCCTCAGGACAGCAAGTGAGTGGCCACTCGGGGGACGCTCAGTAACTGTTGAGTGAGCCGACCAAGGATGACATGTCCTTAACGGCTGTTGAATTTCATCTGTGTTTGATGTGCTATCACTCACTCGGCTAAAAGTTTGAAACATTGTACTGCTTATGAAGAGGGTGGCCCTTGCTTCATTCAGCCCTCAAAATCATAGTCTCAGTGCTCTGCCACAATCCTTGTAAACTGGTGCCAACTTTCCCACTTCCCTTCACTAAACATGCAACTGACTGCTACTAGCAGCCGTGAGCTCGATGGAGTGCTGTCAGAAATATCCCAATCCTCTGATCAACCAGACTTTGCAAATACAGCAAATCAGATTATTATTTTTTGTATAACACTATACATTTTAACCAATATTTTCTGTAAGCATACTTGTTTTCCACTACCTTTAGAAATTAGAGAACAGGGGACAGCATTGTGGTGTAACAGGTTAAGCCACCATCTGGGATGCTGGCATCCCTTGTGGGAGCTGGTTCCAACTGCTTCGTCCATCCATTTATCCATCCATTACAGGTAGAGAAAATGAGACAAAGCTGGTGTGTGATGGATCTAGATTCAGATTCTAGCCATCTGGCACTCCAAGTTCTTGCTTCTAGTCTATGATGGGGATAGAGGAATTTTTTTTTTAAAGAATCTAACCCAGGGCAGGTATTTGGCACAGCAGTTCAGTCACTGCTTGCCTTCCACATCTGAGTGCCTGGGTAAGTCCAGGCTACTCCACTTCTGATCCAGCTTCCTGCTAATGTGCACTTTGGGAGGCAACAGGCACTTTTGGGATGGCTAAGCACTTGGGTGCCCTGGCTGTTGCAGGTGTTTGGGGAGTGAACCGGTGGACAGATTTCTCTCTGTCTCTTTCAAATAAAATGAAAATAAATACATATTTAAAAAAATCAAGCCTAACCAAAGTGCAAAATTGTACAGAGCCTCTAGTCCAGGAACCTGTGTTTTGTTTAATTAATGGATCATCGAAAGATGAGATTTTTGTCAATCTTTAAAGATAGAGTGCAGGCACGCTACAGGCACTGTTCAAAGGCCTCACTGGAGAGGGGAGGAGTTCAAGCACAGAGCAAGGGCTCAAAGTGGGACCCAGACTTGGAGCTTGCGTCTGATACCCAAGGAAAAGAGCCCGACCTGGGCGGGGTCGGGCGGGAGGCCGTGGGGTTGAAGTCCTGTTTGGCCAACTCGATGTGGGACAAATCTGCATTCTCACAGGAGTCCTGCTGGGCTTCATTCATGGCTTTCACAATATAAGAAAGTAGGTTTTGTAACATGGGTGTCCTTATAACACTGGCCTGACTGTTTACTTCTGCTCAGTCCCTGAGCGTATGAGCAAATACTTCAGGCACCATAACGAGCAGAAACTTGAGACAGAGCTTATCTTGTAATGCTGGGCTTTGCATCATATCCAGGGTGTGGTGCGACTTTAGAAGGCAGGTTAAATAATTACGTGTTTACAGATTGGGCCAACCGAGCACATGTGCTGTGAGGGCTGAGGATCCAACCTGATTTAGCTGGGGAGCAGCCTCAGAACCCGGCTGTGGCACATGGTCTCAATATATTGTATATTGCATGCACACACACACCTATACATATGTAGATCTATGTATGGGGGATCTTGGAAAAGTTTGTGCAGGAAATGGAATTAATGGATGTTTATTTTGGTGAAAACAATTTTGAGAGACATAATTTTCCCATAATTTTGTCTAAAGAAAACAGATGGGAGAAAATAAACTTCCATGAATTTTTGAAGACCCCTTGTATGCATGTATACATATGTATGTATGTGTACACATACATACAAACATATATACATACATATATATATATACACACACACACACACCCATGAAAGCACTTCAAAAAATTTATGGGAAATGTATATTATGAAAAAACATAGACTTGAAAAAATTTTTGCACCAAAATAAACTTATTTTAAAGTTCTCTTGTCCTTGAGTTTTTGGAAGTCCCTTTGTGTCTATGC